GTCTAGGGCTGCAGCTAACGATTATTTTCAAAATCTATTAGCTAATTATTAAGTTCGATGAAGCGGTTAAAATTAAAACAAATGGCTCCAGTGATGGACTACTAGTTTATCTTGAGATTGTAGTCCATCACAGGAGCAAGCTTGGAGGGGTGGAAGTAAAAACAAAAAGTGTGGTGTGCAATATAGTGAATTGGAAAGTGTCAAATAATACAGCAATCAATGCAGAATGGCACCGGCTATAGAGGACTACAAATCCCAGCAATAATACATTATACAGCGCAATACAGAATACTGGCAACTATAGAGGAATACAACAAATCCCAGCAATACATTATAGCTGGCGGTATTCTGCATTGTGCTGTGTAATGCACTATTGCTGGGATTTGTACTACTCTATAGCTGGTGGTATTCTGCATTGTGCTGTATAGAGGACTACAAATCCCAGCAATAATACATTATGCGGTGCAATGCAAAATATCACCAGCTATAGAGGAATACAACTCCCAGCAATAATGCATTATAGGATAATGTATTATTGCTGGGATTTGTTCTACTCTATAGCTGGTGATATTCTGCATTCTGCTGTATAATGTATTATTGCTGGGATTTGTAGTCCTCTATACAGCGCAATGCAGAATACCACCAGCTATAAAGGAGTACAACAAATACAGTGTGTAATGTATTGCTGAGATTTGTATTCCTCCAAAGCTGATGGTACATTGCTCTGTATAATATAGAGGAATACAAATCCCTATCCCAGCAATACATTATAGAGCACCATGTTAGGAAAGTGCAGGCTTACCTGAGCAGTCTTCCAGCAACTTGCTTCCAAGATCGGGACTGTCTGTCAGGTCCCCCCACGCCTGCTCCTCCTTGCTTCTTCTCCCCGCGTCGCTGTGCTGATCGTGAATGGTGGGTGGAGTGGGCGGGTCTGTCAGCAGCGAGCTTGAGGTGGGGAGGAGGTTGCGGCGTGTGTGGAGCTGCAAACGGGCAACTAATCGAAAGCCGATTAATCAATGATGGAAAACATTGACAACTAGGGCTGCAACAACTAATCGGCATAATCGATTATAATCGATTATTGGAAAAGTTGTCAACTTTTTCAACGTTTTCCATCATCGATTTGTTGTTGCAGCCCTAGTGTTGTCATCTTAAGGCCCCATCAGGTAAGCCTTCCATGATGTTATCCAGGAAGTGTTGCTTTCGCCTCTCCCAACCAGCTGGTACAAAATCAAAACCTGGGACCCAGTTTAAATGCAAGGCCTGGACTTCTAAGTTAGCCAAGCCCAGTAATAGGGTGCCTCCACTGCAGGAAGTGAGTGTACTTCTTACCCTTTACAGTCGTTTGGTCTTGAGACATACAGGATCTTTGGGTTCAATCCGTCATCTCTCAGGCTTACAAGCTGAAGTTTGTCCTACTCCCCTCCCCTTCCAAGTGAAAAGTAGCTCTCCAGGTGGCATTGCTGCAACTGCCTATGGAATTATTGCCCTGTCTCTCAGGGAGGAGGTTTAGAGTGTTTTATTTCAACTTTGTCATGGGTGTGAAACCCAACAGAAGGGTTTGCCCCATCCTAGACCTGAAAAGTCTCAAGTTCTTTCGGATTTGCCAGTGCCGCATGCAATTAAGTGCACGGTTGGTCATTGCTTCCTTTCAACAGTAGGATTTCCTAGCTTCGGTGGGTAATAAGTATTCCTACCTGCATGTGCCCATCTTTCCTCTGCACCAACTCTGCCTGTACTTTGCCTTTGGAGAGAATAATTTCCAATTTGTGTCGCTTTGCTTTGGCATGTCCATGGCCCCACTGGTCTTCACAAAGGTGCCGGCTGCTGTCCTTGCACTGTTGCATTCTCAGGGTGTCCATATTGTAAGGTACTCGGGATGACCTCCTGCTAAAAGCTACATCTGCACAGACACCGGAGAACTGTTCAGACATTAAAGTAATTTAGGTGGATCCACAACCTCCAGAAGTTGGCGCTGGGTCCAACTTACCGTCTGTATTACCTGTGCCTTCTCATTGACATGAAACAAGCCCACTGGCTGAACAAGAAAAAAAAATGCTTGATTTAGCTGTTTAGTATGGATGTGGAAAATCTCCCCTGCCAGCTATTGTATTCGGACAGCTGGCACCTGCCACTGACTGCAGCTGTTTGGCAACTGCTCTGGCGAAAGTCTAGGGGGGTGCAGGGTGAGTGCTGTATATTCTGGGGAGCTGCAGAGAATCCTTCTCGCCACAGTATATTTTCTTGAAAATACAGATAAATACCAGTTGGTACCTGTTAATACTGTTAGAACTGAAATCTCAAAAAATGTTTTCAGCCTTTCCAGCTATCTTGTGTACTACAGTACACCTCCCCCATATAATGAAAAGGAGGAGGTGTTTTTATTCCAAATCAGGACAGCAGCCTTGAGTGACAACACTGCCCCCCTGCTGAGGTCAGTGAGTACCTGTTTTAAAGGCTAGCCAAACACGGCTTGAATTTTTGGTCAATTATTCCTGAAATTTGAGCAGTGTGTAGCAACCCATCCTTTTGACAAGTAAAACATTTTTTAACTGACTTTTGTCTATGGAGCCAGGCCAAATATTTTCAGCCGAACATTGACTGCAGCCAGTCGGCTATTCTGGCAGCGGTGGCGCACCCTCTACTGCAGTGGTTCTCAACCTTTCTAGGGCCGGGACTCCTTGGTAACTTTAGCCAAGTTGTGGTGACCCTCAACGGTAACATTTAGGGATGAACCAAAACTAGTATCTGTGTGGGCTCCCAGTGCGGCTCTTTGGTGATCAAGCATTCACCTCTCCACTCCTGCCCGCTCCCCTCTCTCTGACCCTCTCCAGCCGCTGTTGCTGCAACAGCACCATCTAGGAGAACTGACACTGTTGCGCTAGGAGGAGGCTGAGGAGCATCTTACCTAGCACAGCACAAGGCATGTGGAGACCCCCTCAACTGTGGGTTGTGACCCACAGGTTGAGAACCACTGCTCTACTGTCAGAATTCAATAGCCCAGCAGGGAAGAGCGTTTTAAGGCTGGGTTCACACCGCTCTGTTTTAGCGCGCAGCTGGTGTCCACTGGGTGGTAGTGGGGTGTAGGGGTGCCTTGCGGTATTATGCACAAGGCGCGGTTTACTTTGTTTTTTTAAATTAAAGTAACACTAAACTCAGGGGTTCAATCTTAAACATGCATTTGAGTACCTTCACTAGTAACAAAAATGTATCTTATTTGTGTATCACTCGGCTGTAGATCCTCAAATAATCTCTGAATTGGTGCTGACGTTGTCCTGCCTTCTGGAGGGGGGCTACTATTGTTCCCCATGGTTCCTGTGTGTGTGTTGTAAAGTAGCCACCGCTCCAAGCTCGCTCCCATTGCTCAACTGTAGTCCTTAGAGAGCTGGGAACAATGCTATCAATAGTCAGCAGAGGCAGCGTGTACAGGAAGTTATCAGCCCAGAAGATTTCTGGAAGGATTAACACATTTTTTTGCAAGTACTGCACAGATATAGCAAAACATGTAATTAGACAAAAAGTGAGCAAATAAGAGAAGTTTAGTGTTAGGGTTTACATATACTTTAACCTAACAATATATTTAATATAACGGGCATTAACATGCTATAATGAACAGGTGGCTTAATGAACACAAACATTTTTTTGTTAGTAACTATATTTATTTAGTTGCTAATTAAATTCTTTGTTTACATCTTGCTGCCAGCCGAAGGCTAGATTTAGTGGTGGGCAGCAGAATGTAAACAATGGGGAGCAATAGCCAGCCTGCTATTGGCTATTTCAAATTGCATTAGCAGGCTGGCTATTGTACCCACCCACTGAGCAGAGGAGCGGACCTGAGAGAGTAGGAGATTGTGAGTCCCTCTGCACTCCTCACAGCGCTCCCAGCCCAAGCAGTAATAGTGGTGCTCGCAGTGACAATCACGGATGGCGCCGTGCAAATCAACAGTAAAAAGCAGAAATCACCAGCATGCGATAAATTATCGTTGATGTCCATTGCGGCCCCGAAACCAGCGTTTTGGGGCTGCACAGGGTCCCTTCATCAGGGCGGCCCCGAAACGTTGATTTTGTCTGTGAGGAATGGTCCGATTTAAATGGACATCAATTATATTTATTGAGTGTTGGTGATTTCTGCTTTTTACTGAACCTGAGAGAGAACACGTGCGTTGGGTGACTACTTCAGAGTTACTATTAACTCTCAAGCAACCAGAAAAGACCGTTATTCGGCACCAAGCAATCCCCATGGGTGCCGGATAACTGGGAGTTTGCTTTATAATGGAACACATTTTTAAAGTGAACCGAACTATGTGAATCTGATTGGTTTGAGGGAATTGTTTTGTAGGGCATCACCAAGATTAAAATCTTGCTTCGTGTGGTCCAGTTTTAAAGAGGACCTTGCATTGCTCCCATTAACACCTCGCCAAACAAATCAGCATCTGTGCTGCAGTTTCTTTTTTAGGCCTTGGCTGAAGAGTAGCATGATTGTCGCCATTACATATCACATGACCAGCAAACCAGATTCCCAGTTGGAACTGGGTTGTCTTAACAGTTCAGCATTCTCTGAATTCCAGCAGTCCGCGAAGTGTATTTGGCAAAGCCAAGCTCATTGTATTGTAAGCGTACTTTTTTTTTTACAAAGATGAGCAGTATAGATTATACTTCTAGAAAATATGTTTTCAAGATTCATCTTTAGACATGTGATGTTAGTTTCGCAATCTGGGGCAGGTGGCAACTAGCTGGTAGCTCTTAAGATACAGTGCAAGAGGGCGTCGAATGTTAGGGTTAGAAAAGCAACAGTGTCTGCCTGCACTAATCTCCTGTCTGCATTGATATAAACTGTGAGCGCTTGGATGTTTTGTTGCCCTGAGTGCATTAAGGTTATGCATATGTGTCTTGACTGCCCGCTTTCTGCTAACTAACCTTCTTAGCAGAATATTTGTTTCCTAGTAAATGTAGTGTTTGCTTGTTACACATGTTAATTGCGTGTTGTCTTTGAATTTCAGTGAATCGTTACATCTGGAGCCCGAACCAGCGATTCATTCTCTTCCAACGCCATTACCAGATCAGCATGCCACGGTCACTGTGCAGTTGGAGTCGGAGGAGGATGTAAAACCTCCACCCTCCGAGCTCATACCTCAGCCGGAAGCATCTCTAGAAGATGCCGAGGATCTGGAATTTGAACAGTCCCTAGATGGATCATTATCCCCGTCTTTATCCTCGGTGGACATGAGATTATCTCTGTCTCCGCCTTTACCTCGGTCAGAAGAATGCTTCAATCCGACCAGGCAGCATCTGAGAACAGACTGTGCCTGCAGCCCAGACATTTTACACTTGCTGAAGAAAGAGCACCAGATCGTTTTTAACAACCAAAAACAATACGGATTTTACATCAAAGAAAAACGAGAAGCCTTAAAAAGGAGGCAACACCTGGAGGAAGAATTGCTCAAATCCAAAATTAAAGTGGAGAAATTAAAAGCAATTAAACTGAAAAGAGACTTGCCCGAATACAGCATTTTGTGAAGTTTACTTTGTCTTGTATTTTTAGTTGAATATGTTTGTATGCATCTGAAGGTAACTTATAGTATACCAGCTTCTGTGATGGTATATGATAAGTGACCAGTATCATGTCATACTGCCTCCATTCCTAAGTACTTTGCTGTCTTTAACAATATAGGATAATATATGGACAATCACTTGGCCCTTTTCTCACCAAGCATTGTGCTGTGGCAAAAAAAAATGCATTTTACAGGCATTTTCTGCCTCCATACTAATAAATTAAAATGCATGGGTTTTTTTTTACACGTTTTACATGCATTTTCAAAGCTATGACTAGAAAAGTCATAAAAAGTGGTAGAATTATTACATTATTTCCATGCATTATTAAAATGCATAGAAAGTGCAGGTAAAATGCACAAATTGCATAAAAACATAATTGTGCTGCTTGTAAAGTCTGTCAAATTTGTATTTTTCTGTTCAAATGTGGTAATGTATACATGATATTTGTATGAGCCATTCTATAATACTAGAAGCCAAAAGGCTAACAAAAACCCTTCCAAGTCAGTTGAATATTTGGCAATAATTTTATAAATGTTTGCTCATCCTTATTTGCTTCTCATCTGAAGATATTTAAATAGGATTTTCCATGTATTTGTTGAAAATGTTCACATTCAGTGCTGAGGGGGAGGTTCTTCAAAGGTTCAGTCTCCCTATTGCGATAAACATTACAGAACTAAACACTCTTTCATTTAAGTGCCCATTCACACCGGGTGATTGTGGATCAGCACGGTTACCGCGCTGATTTCAAAAGGGAGGTTTTAATTGCGTTTCAGCGCTGAAACACAATCTAAAAATGCCCCAAAAAAGCGCGGTTCCATTGAAAGCTGTATGGAAACCGCACTGACTCGCGCGGTTGCATGAACGGTCCCCATAACAATGTTTGGGATCGTTCATGTCGGCGGATCCGTGTGGCCGAACCGCCTTGGTGTGAACGGGGCCTAAAGTGGAGTTTAAATCCTCAGGTTTTTTTCTTTTCAGTCTCTGACTTATTGGGAAGATATAGCGGCCTAGCAGGAAGTAAAAGGAGATTGCTTCAAAGCAAGAGGTTATCCCTTTTAGACAGCAGGACGGGTTTATCTGTTGGAAGATTTGATCTCATCTCCTGTTAGCATGAGAACTGAAACATTTCCCTCGACTCTGCACCAGACACAATAAATCTCCCTAGTAAGGACACAAACGCCAATAAAAACGAGAGAGCAGACCAGTGGTATAGCTGCACATACACTTAAATGTATACCTGTTATGAGATAAATATGTCATCTGCCACCACTGGCCTCTTTCTTAAAAGGGTAGTAATTTTGTTGTCTCGGAGGTCAATAATGGTAAATGGCAAGTTTCCTAAATGTGATGGTCAGCCTTCATTATAATCACCTGTGGAAACCTCAGTGTTCTATAGAAAAGTGGATGAGCCATGGAGGGTATCTCACTAAAATCAAAACTCTAATACAGAGGATGCTTCAAATTTGACTTGTATCGCAGTGGAGACTCCTGAGAAAATGAGTGAGCCAATAACGCAAGCAGGAGATTACATTCTGGGGGCATTCTGTACACCAACTGTGTATGGAATGCCTCTAAGTTGCCATATTAGAAGAAAGCAGCATTTGGCAGTTTCTAAAAAAAAAAGAGCAGTAACAGATTAAAAAAAAGAGCAGTAACAGATTGAAATGGAAAGGCATGTTTAATTAAAAAAAATTGGAAAATGGTTTATGTATCAAATATGTTTGTTTTTTAAATAAAAGTGGTGTTTAATTTTAAAGGTATGGACATTGCTAGGGATGTTATTTCCATGCAACCTGTAATTTAACCTGAAACTAGACGTTTAAAAACATGAACACAGGCCCTTATAGGAGAAGTGCATGAAGATTCTGGGAAGTTACCATGGCTGCACAGGGAAATATAACATTTTATGATTGAAAGCTACGAGTAATGGAATAGCAATTTTAGAAAATGTGCAGCAATTATAGCATTATATCAAATTTGTCAAAACTGGAATTTTCCTTTTAGAAAGCCAAATGTACATCTCAGCTGGATGTTCCTGCAGCATCCCCCAAATACCAGGCTGTTCTGACAGAAAAAGCTTTTGGCACTTTCTAATAATGCTGAAGCCAGCCTGCTCCTTCCTGCCTTCTACACAATTGTAGGCCATAATAACACCCATTTTTAGTAATGGAGCAATAGAACATTGGGGGAGGTGTCAGAGTTTTTTTTTACATTTTGAGTCTTTTTAGGGTTGTATACATGGTCGTAACATGTAGTCAAAGTACCCCGAAAGTCCTGAGTCTAGGACATCTTGTTTATGTGAGACAATCGGTAGTTGGTTAGACTGCTCATATCATTTTATGGAAGATAGTCAATGTTATGTTCGTTATGCTGAAGATAAGCGTTTTTCTGTTTGTGAAAAATGAAGAGTCTGTCCTTTTTATGTTAAAATGGTTGCAAGACTGGTCACTAAGCACTCGCCATATGTGCTACGTTCCCCAAGTATCACATAGCCTCTGGGATCAGAGACCGCAAATAAAAATGGCGCTATCGGTGCTCACGTGCCTTCCCTTGCAGGGTTTGTATCTGATTTACCTGTGACTCTAATGGCTTCTGAACCATTGGCCTCAGAGACTATTTCTACATTACTAGTCTTTGCCTCATGAGCTTATTCTGAAGTAGTCACATTCCTCTAATACTCCCAAATTAAAAGGCCGTTTCAGCTCTTACCAATGCAGTGAGCACCCCTCAGAAACTACAAGTTCAGCTTGCAGTTTCTACCAGTCTTGGGTGCTTTAGAGCTTTTATGGCCAGAAAGACCTTACCATTAAACCAGCTGTTCCAACTCTTTCTTTATGGAGATTGGAAACACCCTCACAAGCTGTTTACTCCCCCAAACGCTTATTAGCCTAGTACTCATTTGGGGAAGATTTCATGCAAAAGTGGCCTATCCCCACGGTGGATGCGGACACCTGCTGCCCTATCAAAGCGACTACCATATTGGTGAAGGATTCAGCTTTCCTTAAGGACCCAACGGATAAGTGGTTGGAAGCCACCTCTAAAACCCTGTTTTAGCTGGGCCTGATTTCACTTTTTAAGACCATCACTGACTGCCCAGAATCCTTAAGCGATCCCACTACTGCTGCAGTTGATCCTTTAATTATGGAAAGTATGGAGTAAATGGCTATAGCTTTAAACTTCAGTTGTGATAGTTTGCTGGAGTTTTCCTGTCTTCTCTCACGCATGGGTCTCCTGTCCGTGCACATGCAAAGAACACTTTAGTTAAATTTTAGAACCCACCTCTAAGAACCATCTGATCAGCATGGCTTTCAAGGGACAGCATTTCATTGGTTTATCTCTTGATAACATCAAGGATGCTACTGGTGGCAAGAGCGCCCATCTTCCTCCTTGAAAGAAAGCTATGGCACAGACTACAAACTCTTTTCCCTCAATCTGACTCTTGTACCACCCATGTCCAGACCCCCAAATCTTGTATTTCAGTCCACCTGCACGATCTGGGGCTCAAACCTTGCTCTACATGAAGGTGTGACTCTACTTTCCAGAGTGGGGGTACCTTTGTTAACCTTTACAGACACTTGGACAGCTTGCTGCCCAAACTCATGCGTAAATGAGTTTCACTCCTTGCCTCGGTTTCTCACTCCAACCTTCCTGCGTCACCGCACAGTTTAGCAAATCTTCATCTAGTCCTCTCAGGTCTCCTGGACCAAGGTGTCACTTCCCCAGTTCCTGTGGCAAAATGGTTTTAAAGGCGTTTACTCCAATCTGTTTACCATTACCAAACCCAAAGGGGACATGTGCCCCATATTGAATCTTAAAGCTGAATGTTTTACAGAAATTGTGCATGGAATCTGTCAGATCTGTCATCTCCTCCCTTCACCAGCGAGACTTTCTGGCTTCTGTGAACATCAAGAGCGCATAACTGCATTTCCTCGTCTTTCCAGCACATCGGTGTTTCCTGTGCTTTTATGGGGGGCCCCTTTTTTTTGTTACCAGTTTGTGGCCCTACCCTTCGACCTTGTCCACTCCTTGGGTGTTCATGAAAGTGCTGGCCCCAGTGTTAGTGCTGTTGCGCTCTTATAGCATCCGCGTTGTAGGATATATAGACAACCTTCTGCTGAGGGAACAGTCATTACAGGTTCTGTCGGAGAACATGACCTTGACTCTCCATACATTAAGTCAGATGGATCCTGAACCTTCAACTATCATCACTGGAACAGACTTATCATTTGGATTTGGTAAATTCAATCCTGTTCTGAGCAGAACGTCATGTTCCAGCCTTGTCTGCCATGTACATCACAGACATGTACTTCCTCAGCCAGGAGCACCTGGAGCCAAGGGAGGTGTTCAAGAACCTGTGTCAAAGGTGGGGTAAAATTGGATGTTCGGCAACAAATTTGGACAGATTTGTCTCCAGGTATAGAAATCCTCTAGCAGAGGTAGTAGATTCTCTAGTGGCTCCATAAAATCAGTACACCCTTATCTATGCCTTTCTTCCCCTGAAACTTTCTCATCTGCTTTGCCAAATTGAGATGGATGGCATTCCAGTGAGGAGGGCATTCTGGACTAGGCCAGGTGGGTGTGGTACACTGACCTGGTAAACCCCTGGCAGAAGCTCCATCTGCTTCGCAGTTGCTGGCTTTAATGTCATGGCTGTTGAAGCCCAGGTTTTTAGAGACAGGCATTTTTAAATATGAGATTCATATGATACAATTGCTAGGAAGACTACTTCCCATGGGGTCTACCATTGGACATGGAAGGCATAATTTCCACCCTAAGAGTTTTTTTGTGGGACAAATCCTCTCCTTTCTATAGTGGGGCTGGGCCTTGTGTTTAGCTCTCAGCATTATGAAGTGCCAGGTCTCTGCCCTTTTTCTCTTTTTTCTTTTACTATCCAAAGATCATTGGCCTCTCACTCTTTGACTAAGACCTTTTGTTTCCCATGTAGCTTTATCTGTTCGTTCCTCTGTGACTCCAAGGGGTC